AGTACAGCAGGAGTGACACCATGTGACTTCAGAGGCTAGATCATAAAAGGCAATGCAGCTTCCGGGCTGTGGCTGACTGGGATATTCATTCTTAACGACTTCAGCTGTCAAGGAAACAGTCTGATTGCCCTGAGGCTGCCATTATGTGAAAAAGCTCAATGTAGTCCAAATGGAGAGGCCCCATGGAGAGGCCCTGGCACAACCTGAAGAGAAAAAGATGCCCAGCTCGTCCCCATCTCCAGCACCGCCATTCCAGCTCCTGCCACCACACCATGTGACTACAGCCACATGAGGCCCTGGGCCAGAACTGCCCCACTTAGGCCTTCCCAATTCCTGAGCCACAGAAACCATGAAAGATAAGAATAAAATGACTATTGTTCTAAGCCACTAAGTTTTACGTGACTTGTTTCATGGCAATAATAGCTAGAAGGGTTTATAAAGCCCTGAACAATGTCTCCTATGACCTTCATCTACCTCTGTAATCCAACTCTCAATGTTTCCTGTCTTAAACTCAATACTGTAACCCACCCTGAACCCCTTTCTGTGTCTTGAAGGTGTCCTTCTTTCTTGTTTACAAGTTTTCATACATTCGGTTCTTGCTGCCTGAGATACTCCTTTTCCCTCTCTACTCTTGGTTAATTTTCCTTCATCATTCAGGTGTTATGTTAAACTTCCTTATGGAGAGTTTCTAAACTCTGAGGCTAGTTCTGGTGTCCTCCTGTGGCTCCTTGTCCTTCAAAAATCACAACATTCATCATAACCCATTGTAATCTTGTGTTGGGTTGCCTATCCTAGCCCCACACCAGCATACACACATGTGCACACACACTGACAGCTCCATAGAGACAATGCTCAGTGCTAGTAGAACGGTAAGTGCTCCGTGAATATTTGCTGAATGCTCAGCCTCCAGCCCCATCTCTTTCCTGAGCTCCAGGTGGGAACCTCTGCCTACTTACCTACAAATAAATTTCAAATTCAACATGAATGCATCCTCCCCTCTCCTTCTAACCTATGCCAGCACTTACCAGTTGCCCAAACCAGAAACCTCACCTCTTCATTCAAGGAGTATTTATTGTGCTCCTCCCTTTGTTTCTTTGCTGGGGATGCAGGAGATCATAAGGCAAGCTCAGCCCCTGTGGCACAGAACTGACGGGCTGGTGGACATCACTTACCTCTTCCTTATACTGGACATCCCAGTGAGTGTCATTGGTTGTACTGATTCTAAATTGCTCTCCCGTCTGTCCTTTCCTGGAGACATCATCTCCTAAGTAAGCTGCACCCCAACTGCCATTGTCCTAGTTCAGGCTTTTGTCATTTCCTGCCTAGACTACAACAAGCTCTCTAATCAGTGTCTCTGCCTCCAGCCTTGCTTCTTATGTAGCTATATTGCTCCCCTGCTTAGAACCCTTCATCGGCTCATCACGTGCTTTAAAATAAAATCTAAACCCACTAGGAAGGTTTGCCTCATGCTCTAGCACCTTGCTTTCTTTTGTTCCCTCACATCCCACAGTCCCCCACACACACCCTACACCCCATACTTTTTCTCACCGTTGTGCCTTTACATTGCCTCTCCCTATATCTAGAATGCCCTTGCCCCTTCTTCATTCAACGGATATTTATTGAGCACCTAGCTGACAACAGGCACTGTCCTAAGTGTCAGAGATTCAGCAGTGAGCAAAACACCTACTCTCATATTTAAAAAAAAAAAAAAAAAAGATTGAAAGCCACCACTTTAAATAGGATAGGTCACTGGTAAGGTAATCTGTGTGCAAAACTATGAATGGAGTGAGGTAATAACCTCTAAGGATATCTAGAGGAAGAGTCTTCCCAGCCAAAGGAGCCATCAGTAATCATTCCTTAGTTACAAAATGCCTAAAGCAGGAAGAAGCCAGGCAAACTGAAGGAAAAGCAAGACAAACAGTGTAGCCAGAGCACAGAGGGTGAGGGTGAGATGTCTGAAATGAGTCAAAGAAGTCAGATAAAGAGGGCCTTGACAGTCATGCTAAGTGGGTGCTTCACCCACCCCCGATTCCTTTTCCTCCTCCAGTGTCAAGTGCAGAAATCATCTCCTGAATAGACCACACACCACCCCACCCCTAGCATTTACCATATACAGTATGTTTAATTGACTGTTTTGGGGGGTCTCTACCACACCATGAGTTCCCTACAAGCAGGGGCTCTATCTTTCAGCTCCATGTGTTACAGACCCCATCACAATCAGTAAATTATTTTCGAAGAGTCAAAACATTCTTCCTTCGTTCTCATTCTATGCCCTGCAAGCAATTCCCTGATTACTAGAATGGTTTCCCAGTGACTATGGCACCGCAAAGGGAGTGCCATGATAGTGAACACATGCCTTCTGGTATTTAGAAACTACACACGTATGCCCATCATTGCACATTTTGTAAACACTGTCATGTATACACATCAGCCACTCTTTTTGGTGAGATGCAGTTGGTGAGAAAATTATCAACTCTGGATCATGATGACCTGAGGAAGGCACGGCTCATGGAAGAGCCGCATGAGCATCCCAGCAAAGCCCCAGATGCCCCCTCCACCTCATCACCACCTTCCCTATTTCAGATGGGGGCCCTACCACCTCCCACCTGCCCATGTTTGAATCCTTAGCATCGTCTCAAAGAGCTCCCACATATCCTCACATCTGGAAGTCCTAGAAATCCTTCCTTGTAACTATTGCTGTATCTACCCCTTCATCCCAAGTTCCAAAGGCCACCCAGAGGGCAGGTCTTCACCACACTTTATACGGACTCAGGTTTCAGCTCCCTAAACCAGTCTCCTTCCCTTCTCTCTTTCCAAAAATGCTCTCCACGTGCCCAGAAGAGTTCTTCCAAGCAAATCTGATTTTACTTCCTCACCTAAAATTGATAGCTCTCCCTCATTTTCAAAATAGAGTCTAGCCTGTTTAGGCACTATATAACACCCTCTTTGAGCTGACCCTGGGCTACATTTCCAGTCTCTACCTTCTCCCTTATCTCTTACTCCACTTTCCAGCTCTACTAACTACCTGCAATCCTCTGAACAGTCTGTACTTTTTTGCATCTCCACACCTTATTATGTGCAGTTACCCCTATGAGAAATGTCCTAGAAGACAGCTGTGTGTCTTTTCAAAATTCAGCTGAGACATTGTCTTGTCTGTGACGTCTTCCTGAGCTCTCCTCCCCACAAGAAGAAAGTTGTCCCGCTTACTCTTACGATGCCTTTATCACTACACCTTTTACCTTGCATAACAATTATTTGTTACTGGGTCTGTCTTGCCCCTTGGATACGTCTTGATTTTCTCCTAAATGGTTATGGTTAAATAAAGATATTACTCCAGGTTGTGTCTGGACAGAATGTCCTCAGAGGTCTCAGCATCGGTGTTGTCCTGGGTGTTCATTAAATAATAACTGAAGGAAGAAACTCATGAATCAAATGTCCCTAAAGTCTTACAATCTTTGTTGTCCTTCAGAACCTTCCCCCAGGTCTCCATGTGCCTCTGAAGTTATTAGAGATAGAAAAAAGTCCTGTAAGCAGTGAAGAGATATAGTAATTTTAAGTATAATAATTATTAACATGATACATTTGAGGCATGAGTTATGGTTTTCACTGAATCTTATTTCATTCTTGCAGTAGCCTGGGAGTAAATAGTCACTGCACCTTGCCGAAGGTGACACAGTTATTGAGCCCAGCCTTACACACAAGTCTGGTGCACTCTTCACTCTACCAGAGTTGTTTCAAACATATGCCCTGAATCCATGCAGCATAAAATTCTGTCTTCTATTCACTGGGGAGCTCTGCAAACTAATCATAACTGTGGCTACTTTGCATGTAATCATTCAAGGTGTACATACGCATTTATGTGTACATGGTCATACAAGAGTGTGAATACATCTCTATTCCCAGATTAGAAGCAGCAGATTAAAAAAGGGTGACTGATGGAGATGGGCGCAATGCCAGAATCAAGGAATGACAGCTGTGAGAGATGACACAGATCAAAACCAGAAAAGAATACAACCTGATGAACTGAAGTCAGACCAGCAGTGTGAGGCCGCTGAGGAAGCCAACACTCATCCGCCGCCGCCCCTTGCCTGCAAAGGCCCATAATCATACAAGAATTGAGATGTGCAATGGTAATGCCGGACCACGAAAAGAAATGTCAAGCTATTAAGGCAAGAAGACATAGCATTGGTTTTAAAGAGGTTTCAACAAAGATGGTTGAAATGAGAGAATTCTGGCATTTAAAGGGATGCAGCCATCTTAGAAATTTTACTTAAATGAAATAATCCTTGCCCTACACAAGGTATGTGACTATATACCTTCATTTAAGGGAATCCAATTAGTTTCACCAGTAAGTCAACCTACCCGATCATCTATAATAGTGGTAAGAATCTAGTCAAGCCCTGCCCAGTGTAGCTCAGTTGGTTGAGTGTCATCCTGCAAACCGAAAGATCATGGGTTCGGTTCCCACTGAGAGCACATGCCTAGGTTTCAGGTTCAGTCCCCTGGGCCTCGTACAAAAAGGCAACCAATTGGTGTTCCCCTCTCATATCAATGTTTCTCTCCCTCTCTTCCTCTCTCCTTTTCCCTCTCTCTAAAAAAATAAAATAAAATAAAAAGTAGATCCATAAATAGAAAAGAATGTCACTGATAAATTCTGGGGGAAAAGCAAACTGTAGAATTTTATGTAGACTATGATCCCATTTTTGTAAGCCACCGACCAAAACTACATGTCTTAAAGGAGAAAGAACAAACGTCAGGAAGGGCACACAAGCTGCTAATGATGCTTACCATGGGAAGGTGAGTGAAATGTAAATTGGTGCGTTTTTTTACACTTTGGTACTGTTCAAATTTTCACACAAAGCATACATTAATTTTTAAAAAATAAAAGCATTTGCAGAGGCATGCACGTCCTTCCGTCCCCTTCTTACCCGCTGACTAGACTCCCATGCAGGCCTCTGCCCTGGCCCTCCACCCAGCACCTCCTGCCCCACCCCACTTACAGATGCAGGCAGCAGCCAGCAGGCGGCCAGCAGCATAGGGGGCAAAGCAGCTCGGGAAGATGGGCTGCACCATGTAGTTGGCAAAGGTGATCGCGATGATGGCCTGGCTGGTAGGCTCAATGATGAGGAGAGAGGTCCAGAGTCGGATGAAGGCAAGCAGTCCCCCGAAGGCCTCGAGGATGTAGGCATAGCTGGCCCCAGACTTCTTAATGGTAGTGCCCAGTTCCGCATAACAAAGGGCCCCAAAGACGGAGAAGAGGCCCCCAACGGCCCAGATGACCAGGGAGAGGCCAAAGGAGGCACTGTACTTGAGAACACCCTTGGGGGATACAAAGATGCCCGAGCCAATCATGTTCCCCACGATCAGGCACACGCCGTTCAGCAGTGAGATCTCCTTCTTCAGCTTCACCTGTTCGGGCCCAGAGTGGTCCTCCTCTGCCAAAGAGGAGGCATCCCCCACGTGCTGGGAGGCCGCTTCATACTTAACACCGTCAACCATGGTGGAGGAGGAAAAGAAAGACTTCACCAGCTTCCTGGCATTGCCCTCTAAGGAAGAACAATGAAGATAATATAGATCAGGTGGTTGGTTGTCAGTACCATAGTATGCTCCCCGAGAGGGACCTGTTGGCAACCCACACCGCCCACCGCCGCTGAGACCTCCCTCTCTCTTGCTCCCCACCTCCCGTTAACTTTTTCCCATGCTGGCTCTGGCTCATCAAAACAACCCCAACTTGAATTTTTAAGAAAACACACTCATTCCCCAGAGAGGAAGCATCTGTCTCTCACTGTGCTGACACTGGCGCTGCCTACGTGATTTACAAAATCGAAAACTAAATCCTGGTTCTACCTGGGCCTGCTGTGATAAAAGATAGGAATTAGGGCGGTCATCTGGCAGTTCCCAGTGGTGACCATAATGATTTGAACCAGTGCTTTTCAGCCTTACCTCAAAGAAGCCTGGCCCTGGCAGGTGTGGCTCAGTTGGTTAGAGCGTTGTCCCGTAACCCAAAAGTTCGTGGGTGCAATTCCCGGTCAGGGTACATGCCTAGGTTGCAGGTTTGATCCCCAATTGGGGTGCATCCAAGAGGCAACCAATTGATGTTTCTCTTTCACATCAATGTTTCTCTCCCTCCCTTCCCCTCTGTCTAAAATAAATAAGCATGTCCTCACGTAATGATAAAAAATAAAGTCTATCTTCCCTCCAATTTCAGGCTCACCTGTCACCTGTGTTGAGATGCAACATGAGGAGCCAGACTTGCAAGCAAATAATCTGTGGGTTCTCCTCACAACACTGCCCTTTTCCCCCAAGGATTCTAGCTCTGGCAAACCTAAAGGCTTCAGAGATTTCTTGCTGGAAACCCACAACTATCCTTCTGCTTAGGAGAAATGCTCAGCCCTAGCAAAGTCCCAGCAGCCTCACCCCACGCAGAAAGAAGACAGGCTATTTTCCTCACTTTTCTTTTCTGAGATACCTTTCCCAGTCCCTAGTATTCCAGATCCCCTACCATCAAATCCCTCACATCAGCATAGTTGCATCACCCAAATAGTAAGAATGAGAGGAGGGTGATCCAAATGTACAGCCCAAGCTAAAGGTGATTGGAGTCAGCTGATGACCACTCCTCACCCAGGAGTTCCTGCTGGAGACACAGCACTGAAAGCCAAAGCCAAGAAACAGCTGAAGTGGGGCAGCTGATGTTGACCCCCACAGAGCAGGAGACAGCTGAGAGAAAAACAGGCAAGGCTAGCCAAGCAAGTGGCGAGATTCTAGAAGCACTGGGAAGCTGAAGTGGACACTGCACAGCAGCAAAGAGGGGTGGGGTCAAGTGAGGAAGACGCTGAGATGAGACAGTGGGAAGCACTCACTACCTGGCTAAAAGTGTAAGCAGGTTCCTGCAGCAGCAGCAGAGCCAGTGGAAGTCAGGAGCTGTGCTGTGACTGCTCCTTCTTCTCAGCCAGCAGTGGAAGGAATGGCCAGGCGAGGGCTTATGGATTTAAGTCAAATCAAGTAATCAAGAAGGGCGGAAGGGCTGAGGGCAGGGGGAGGAGTATTAAGTAACTGTGTCTGGGTCCAAGGTTTACTGACCCCTCACCTCTGCAAAAAGGGCAGCAAGGAGCTCTGGGCTCAGCACTTTATACGATAAGAAGGCACTCCCTCAGGAACCTCCTTTGACAGGAGTCAGCTGGGCGCAGCTCCGAAGCCCTGGGGAAACTGTCCCCTAGCAAATTGGCCCTGCTGAGGACTGGGCTGGCTGAGAAAGAATGCACAGCCCTCTCTCCCAGTCCTCCACACCCCACCCTAGCCCACTTCTCTCATTCTGAACAAGAAAGGTTGCACAATGTGACACAGATACTTGTTCACAAACTGAGATTAGGGGAAGTGTGAGTGCAGTCCCAATACCTCGTGATTGGCTGTCCTAAGAGTAGAACTCTTCATACTTCCCCACACAGAGTGAGGGGTGGCTGCCCCTAAACTTGGGCCATTGCCCCAAGGCTGAGCCTCAAGCTACTTCCAAGGAAACAAAGTCGAGAAATTACACTCAAAACTCTGGCTGCATTCACCCCACCCCACCCCTCCTGTGCCCTTTCATCCATAAGAAAATATACCAGGATCTTTGGGTAAGCATAATTCTTACAAACACCTTCCCCAAACACAAGTTTACTCCAATGTCCTAAAAATATGGGGAAATAGGATTTCACTAAGCTACCCGGAACATACAGGCCCAGAACAGAAAGAAAAAGTTGGGTGTTTTTTGGAAATCATAGGTTATTCTATCTTTATAGTCTACTTAAATATGATATTTTGGGTCTCTTTCACTAAAAGAAATATACTCTATCCATTCTGAAATCCAACTATCTGTCCCTTTTCACAACTTTTTAAAAACATCCCTCTTTGGTTATTCTACAACCAGAGAATGACAGTCTAAAAAATCCCAAGGGGATTTGTCTTTACCCTACTCCTTTCCATCCTAGCCCCTTAAACTTTTTTTAAACCAAGAGAGGGATCCAGATGTTAGCCTTCCCAGACATCATTCTTCTCCCAAGTCACCCTCACAAATGTCTGAAATTTATGGATGAGAATAAAAAGGGTTCTATGGAAAGTAACCTCACAGAGTAATCCAATTATAAATTCCTAACTGGGCAAGTTATGATGGGTAGTCACACCCCAGGCATATAACTTCTTTACCAAAAGGCTTATCTTTGACTTAAGCAAGCCCTGTTTATTGTTTCTGTACATCTAGGTTAACACACCTTTGAAATGCCCCATCCTCCTAATATATAACTAAGATAGGATAGTAAGAAGCTAGGGAAATTCCCTGGCAAGTGGAACAGGGAAACTGAGACAGACAGCTGAACAAACTGGCAGAGCCATTTACAGTCAGACACAGAAGGTCACCTCCCTAGAGATAACATCTAGGCCTCAGCTGTATTTCAGCCCCAGGCCCAGAAAAGCAGTAAAACCAGGTGGGCAAAGCCAGGACCTGCTGCAGTGACTACAGACCCCCTGCCCCGGTGCTCAGACCACGGCCCTGAAAGACACCTGGAAAAGCTGATGACTGTTCTGCTGAAACCCTCCCCTGAGATTCCTGCCTGTGAGAGAGAGAGAGAGAAGATCCACCAGACAAAGGACCCAGCGAGCTCATGCTCAGGCTGCGGATGGGGGGCGGGGGGGGGGGGGGGGAGCAGCCTGTGTCATTCCCTTCCCCTTCTTGGTCCCCCACAGGTAGCATCTCCTACACTCTAAGGGGCCCTCCCCCAGACTTGCAACTAGGCGAACAATGGGCAGAGGCAGCTCGTCCCAGGCTAACCCCCTGAACCTGTCCCTAAAAGCCCTCTTTTCTCTGACTTCCCAGTGAGCTAAGGCTGCCCACCCTAGGTTCTCCTGTGGCTTCTTCTGTGCTAGGCCCTTCTTTGTTTTACTGTCCCCAGCTTTAATAAATGTATCCTCAAAGTCACCTGGACTTGTGTTATGAAATCCTTCTACACAAAATCAAGAACCCACACCTAAGCAGACCGACTCAGGGCCAGGCCCCCTCTCGTAACATGAGCACCCATTCAGGGCCTTCCTTCTAACTCATGACCACACTCAAGAGAGCATATAACCTTAACCTGTAATGCGATCCCCACCTTGCTTCCTCCTACCTTCACGTAATCTTCCTTACATTCCCTCCTTAACTTCAAATGCATAAAAAAACTATAAAACTTATTCTCAGGAGCATTTGAGATCTTGCTCCCCCAGCATATGTTGTCAGTTTTGCTCAAATAAACTCTTACAAAAATTCTCTACATATTTGGACACTTCTTACATCCACAGATGCGTCCAGAGGAGACCATCCTTTTCTCCCAGATGCCCCCTAAATACTCCTGTAATAATAATAGCTGTTATTTATTGAGCACTTACTGGAGCCTGATACATTGCTAAGCACCTAAATGCCTTACCTCATTTAACCCTCCCCGCACCCCTTGAGGCACACACTAAGTCTCATGCCAGGGTGCCAAACTAGTGAGGGCAGGCTAGCCAATAGAGCCCAAGCGCATAACTGGCACTGAGCTACCTCCCTGACATCCCTACCTGCTCCTATCTGCCCAGCCTCTAGGCCTTCCTCAGACAAGAAAACACTTCAGATGGCTTCCTAATGAATTATCTGGGAAAGGGTGTGATTAGATTAAAAAGAAATCTTCTGCCCTCCTTCAGCCTGAAGCCTAGACACCCCCCCCCAACAAAGCCCATCCCCTTCCTTCCTGGCTGTTCCTCCTCTTTCTCATCTCTTTGCAGGTCAATCCAAGTCCGCTCCACAGCACTGTACTTGCTAGGGTGCCCACTTAAGCAAACAAGGCACATGGAAATACATCATCACACCTGATCTTTTAAGGCCAAATTCATTGACACCAAGGGGTGGGCATGTGTCCTGATGAGATATTAAAAAAAGAAGAAAAAATGAAGAGGGACAAAGGAAGGAGAGAGAATGTGATGGCAAGTGGAGAGAAATGTGTTGGGTTTTGTTCCTGGCTAAGTGGTATCTGAGAAGTCCTTCTTTTGGAATCTGAGACAGAAACCCACACTCCAGCAAACAGTATACTCTAGTGGCCTTACCAGGAATGCTAAGGGTAGAATCTCCTTCCTAGCCTACCCTGCACTCGCTCACAAAAACTCAGCAGGGGTGGCTGTCCTTCACAGAAGAGATATCCCTTCTTTTTTCAACCACCACCTAGCACCAGCACTGTGGGCAGAAAGGCGCCGTCTTTGGCAGCTCACATTCCTCCCTGAGACCCTGGTTCACAGGGTAATGCTTCCACCAGTTACGCAGCCTGGGATTTGCAGGACCTCCCCTAAAGGGCTCCTCCACACCCAGCTTTACAGAAGAATTTTGCAGGGTCTAGAACCCCACAGGATAATTGTGTTCCTGATCCACAGGACCCCTTGTCCTCTTCCCCTGTCTGAAGTGCATTCAGGACCTACTGGAGATAACAGGACAACACCCTCATCCTACAGCCTGTGGGAGAAGTTTCGGATTCCCGGGCTCAGGGGACACAGGCAGCAGGGCCCCCAGGATACAGTGCCTGGCACAGCAGCCAGTGGGGCCCCTTGCCCTAACCCCACCCATGAATGGCAATAGCAAAACACCCTTTTTCCAGAAACCAGCACGCAGTTCAGGGTCTTGGCTCTCCAGCAAGCTCAGGGAGCTAAACGTGAGCAGATCTTTTCTCCCCCAAAGACCCCACGTCCTGCCTTCCTAGCTCCAACTGGTCTGTGCTGCCTCCCCTAACAACAGAAACAGAAAACAAATACACTCTGGTACAGCTAGATTGCCCCATCACCCCAGCTAGAGTCTCAGCTCCTCCCTCCCCAGTTCTCCATTTGTTTTTCTATATTCCACTGTGGCTACGACAGTCCCTTAAAAAAAGAAAAAAAAAGTGAAACAAGAAATTGTTTACTCCTGTGGCCAGGTCTTCCATTAATGTAGGGCTGAAGTCTCTGGGCAGAGGGCTCTGCCTAGGGAGGGTCAGCGCTGGGGCCGGGAAACAAGAGGCTCTGAGTCTCCTCCATTCAGTCAATCTTCAGGACTCTCACTCCATCCTCTTCCTGCACTTCCCCTCTCACCCACTGTCCCCCAGCTCCCACCTCTTACCAGTCCCGTGACCTTTGGGCAGGTTCGAGGAGGAGGGGCTACCAGCACGCCGGGAGTGGGGGGAGGAAAAGGTGCTAGGAAGGGGCACCAGGGTATGGCTGGAGCTGCTGCAGCTGTTGACTCTGAGGAGCAGAAAAGGCAGAGGGTGATGGGACCAAAATGGAAAACAGGAAAACATATGTGTGACTCTGGCCGGCTGCAGCAGCGGGGAGGGGCCAGGAGGACGGGCTGGAGCTGGGACCCAAAGGACCTCCACGCCTGCCCGCCTCCAGGCTCCTCCTCTTCCCTACCTCAGCACCCCCCATCAGCACACCCCCCAGTCCTCGAACTTCCTTGTTGCCCTACAGTTACTGGGCGCTGAAGCTCTCCCAGTGACTTACACTGCCCTCTTCATGCCCTAACTCCTCCCCCTAATTCCATTTCCCCTGCATCTCCCACTCTCATACTATCATTGGCCCTGAGAAAGGCATAGCACCCATGGTTAGGGCAATGGACCTCTGTGGTCCCATCTCTAGAGTTTAAGCACCAATTCAGCCCCTATTAAGGCAATCCACACCAAAGAATATCCCTTTGGGGGATACAGCTGAGCACATACCTAGACACTAAACAAGCCCACTCACAGCTCAGGTCTCCAGCTGGTTCAGGTGATGCATGCGTTGCCAAGGCCAGCCAAAGGAGCCTGAGCAAGCCGTGGCACAGGGCTAATGAGTTGGCATCACTTTAAACCTGGATTATTTTAATATGTTGAAAGTTTATTTAACAGAAGTGGGAGAATATGATTTTCTGGGAATAGAAACTGTTAGCTTCATTCTTTCTAT